ACAGACAGACAGAAGACAGAGAAAGACGGAAATACAGACAGACAGAAGACAGAGAAAGACGGAAATACAGACAGACAGAAGACAGAGAAAGACGGAAATACAGACAGACAGAAGACAGAGAAAGACGGAAATACAGACAGACAGAAGACAGAGAAAGACGGAAATACAGACAGACAGAAGACAGAGAAAGACGGAAATACAGACAGACAGAAGACAGAGAAAGACGGAAATACAGACAGACAGAAGACAGAGAAAGACGGAAATACAGACAGACAGAAGACAGAGAAAGACGGAAATACAGACAGACAGAAGACAGAGAAAGACGGAAATACAGACAGACAGAAGACAGAGAAAGACGGAAATACAGACAGACAGAAGACAGAGAAAGACGGAAATACAGACAGACAGAAGACAGAGAAAGACGGAAATACAGACAGACAGAAGACAGAGAAAGACGGAAATACAGACAGACAGAAGACAGAGAAAGACGGAAATACAGACAGACAGAAGACAGAGAAAGACGGAAATACAGACAGACAGAAGACAGAGAAAGACAGAAATACAGACAGACAGAGAAAGACAGAAATACAGACAGACAGAAAACAGAGAAAGACAGAAATACAGACAGACAGAAAACAGGGAAAGACAGAAGCAGAAAACAGAGAAAGGCAGAAATACAGACAGACAGACAGACAAAGACAGAAATACAGACAGACTGAAGACAGAGAAAGACAGAACTAGACAGACAGAAGACAAAGACAGAAATACAGACAGAGAAAGACAGAAATACAGACAGACAGAAGACAGAGAAAGACAGAAATAGACAGACAGAAGACAAAGAAAGACAGAAATACAGACAGACAGAAGACAGAGAAAGACAGAAATACAGACAGACAGAGAAAGACAGAAGACAGAAGAAAGAGAAAGACAGAAATACAGACAGACAGAAGACAGAGAAAGACAGAAATAGACAGACAGAAGACAGAGAAAGACAGAAATACAGACCGACAGAAGACAGAGAAAGACAGAAATACAGACAGACAGAGAAAGACAGAAATACAGACAGACAGAGAAAGACAGAAATACAGACAGACAGAGAAAGACAGAAATACAGACAGACAGAGAAAGACAGAAATACAGACAGACAGAGAAAGACAGAAATACAGACAGACAGAGAAAGACAGAAATACAGACAGACAGAGAAAGACAGAAATACAGACAGACAGAGAAAGACAGAAATACAGACAGACAGAGAAAGACAGAAATACAGACAGACAGAGAAAGACAGAAATACAGACAGACAGAGAAAGACAGAAATACAGACAGACAGAGAAAGACAGAAATACAGACAGACAGAGAAAGACAGAAATACAGACAGACAGAGAAAGACAGAAATACAGACAGACAGAGAAAGACAGAAATACAGACAGACAGAGAAAGACAGAAATACAGACAGACAGAGAAAGACAGAAATACAGACAGACAGAGAAAGACAGAAATACAGACAGACAGAGAAAGACAGAAATACAGACAGACAGAGAAAGACAGAAATACAGACAGACAGAGAAAGACAGAAATACAGACAGACAGAGAAAGACAGAAATACAGACAGACAGAGAAAGACAGAAATACAGACAGACAGAGAAAGACAGAAATACAGACAGACAGAGAAAGACAGAAATACAGACAGACAGAGAAAGACAGAAATACAGACAGACAGAGAAAGACAGAAATACAGACAGACAGAGAAAGACAGAAATACAGACAGACAGAGAAAGACAGAAATACAGACAGACAGAGAAAGACAGAAATACAGACAGACAGAGAAAGACAGAAATACAGACAGACAGAGAAAGACAGAAATACAGACAGACAGAGAAAGACAGAAATACAGACAGACAGAGAAAGACAGAAATACAGACAGACAGAGAAAGACAGAAATACAGACAGACAGAGAAAGACAGAAATACAGACAGACAGAGAAAGACAGAAATACAGACAGACAGAGAAAGACAGAAATACAGACAGACAGAGAAAGACAGAAATACAGACAGACAGAGAAAGACAGAAATACAGACAGACAGAGAAAGACAGAAATACAGACAGACAGAGAAAGACAGAAATACAGACAGACAGAGAAAGACAGAAATACAGACAGACAGAGAAAGACAGAAATACAGACAGACAGAGAAAGACAGAAATACAGACAGACAGAGAAAGACAGAAATACAGACAGACAGAGAAAGACAGAAATACAGACAGACAGAGAAAGACAGAAATACAGACAGACAGAGAAAGACAGAAATACAGACAGACAGAGAAAGACAGAAATACAGACAGACAGAGAAAGACAGAAATACAGACAGACAGAGAAAGACAGAAATACAGACAGACAGAGAAAGACAGAAATACAGACAGACAGAGAAAGACAGAAATACAGACAGACAGAGAAAGACAGAAATACAGACAGACAGAGAAAGACAGAAATACAGACAGACAGAGAAAGACAGAAATACAGACAGACAGAGAAAGACAGAAATACAGACAGACAGAGAAAGACAGAAATACAGACAGACAGAGAAAGACAGAAATACAGACAGACAGAGAAAGACAGAAATACAGACAGACAGAGAAAGACAGAAATACAGACAGACAGAGAAAGACAGAAATACAGACAGACAGAGAAAGACAGAAATACAGACAGACAGAGAAAGACAGAAATACAGACAGACAGAGAAAGACAGAAATACAGACAGACAGAGAAAGACAGAAATACAGACAGACAGAGAAAGACAGAAATACAGACAGACAGAGAAAGACAGAAATACAGACAGACAGAGAAAGACAGAAATACAGACAGACAGAGAAAGACAGAAATACAGACAGACAGAGAAAGACAGAAATACAGACAGACAGAGAAAGACAGAAATACAGACAGACAGAGAAAGACAGAAATACAGACAGACAGAGAAAGACAGAAATACAGACAGACAGAGAAAGACAGAAATACAGACAGACAGAGAAAGACAGAAATACAGACAGACAGAGAAAGACAGAAATACAGACAGACAGAGAAAGACAGAAATACAGACAGACAGAGAAAGACAGAAATACAGACAGACAGAGAAAGACAGAAATACAGACAGACAGAGAAAGACAGAAATACAGACAGACAGAGAAAGACAGAAATACAGACAGACAGAGAAAGACAGAAATACAGACAGACAGAGAAAGACAGAAATACAGACAGACAGAGAAAGACAGAAATACAGACAGACAGAGAAAGACAGAAATACAGACAGACAGAGAAAGACAGAAATACAGACAGACAGAGAAAGACAGAAATACAGACAGACAGAGAAAGACAGAAATACAGACAGACAGAGAAAGACAGAAATACAGACAGACAGAGAAAGACAGAAATACAGACAGACAGAGAAAGACAGAAATACAGACAGACAGAGAAAGACAGAAATACAGACAGACAGAGAAAGACAGAAATACAGACAGACAGAGAAAGACAGAAATACAGACAGACAGAGAAAGACAGAAATACAGACAGACAGAGAAAGACAGAAATACAGACAGACAGAGAAAGACAGAAATACAGACAGACAGAGAAAGACAGAAATACAGACAGACAGAGAAAGACAGAAATACAGACAGACAGAGAAAGACAGAAATACAGACAGACAGAGAAAGACAGAAATACAGACAGACAGAGAAAGACAGAAATACAGACAGACAGAGAAAGACAGAAATACAGACAGACAGAGAAAGACAGAAATACAGACAGACAGAGAAAGACAGAAATACAGACAGACAGAGAAAGACAGAAATACAGACAGACAGAGAAAGACAGAAATACAGACAGACAGAGAAAGACAGAAATACAGACAGACAGAGAAAGACAGAAATACAGACAGACAGAGAAAGACAGAAATACAGACAGACAGAGAAAGACAGAAATACAGACAGACAGAGAAAGACAGAAATACAGACAGACAGAGAAAGACAGAAATACAGACAGACAGAGAAAGACAGAAATACAGACAGACAGAGAAAGACAGAAATACAGACAGACAGAGAAAGACAGAAATACAGACAGACAGAGAAAGACAGAAATACAGACAGACAGAGAAAGACAGAAATACAGACAGACAGAGAAAGACAGAAATACAGACAGACAGAGAAAGACAGAAATACAGACAGACAGAGAAAGACAGAAATACAGACAGACAGAGAAAGACAGAAATACAGACAGACAGAGAAAGACAGAAATACAGACAGACAGAGAAAGACAGAAATACAGACAGACAGAGAAAGACAGAAATACAGACAGACAGAGAAAGACAGAAATACAGACAGACAGAGAAAGACAGAAATACAGACAGACAGAGAAAGACAGAAATACAGACAGACAGAGAAAGACAGAAATACAGACAGACAGAGAAAGACAGAAATACAGACAGACAGAAGACAGAGAAAGACAGAAATACAGACAGAAGACAGAGAAAGACAGAAATACAGACAGGGAAAGAGAAATACAGACAGATCAGACAATCCGTCTTTTCTCACACTTCTGACTGAAGAATTTCCATTTACAGAAGAAGGATTTACATTTAGTCAGTTTGCACTCTTATATCCGAAGCGACTCACAAATGAGGACAACATAAAAATAAAAATAAATAAATAAATAAAAATGTAACAACAAGAGTGATTTCCAAGCGATGAAATATATCAGAGCGTTACTAAAATGACATATAGTCGATATTCGCTATAGAAATGTCCTGTCATAAAGTTTTTAAATAAGAGTGATATTTATAGTTGTCCCGTGGCTGAGACCGAAGGAGAAGCACATAACTTACTGAGATTTGCTCGAGTTTATGCTGATAACAAAATCATCGAGTGTTTCATTCCTTCATTTCTGTGTTGCTGACTGAAAAACGCGCAAAAGTTGAACAAACTGAAGATAAACTCTGAATGAATTACACACTCACACGCGCGTCTGCGGCAGAGCTCGCTCCGGTTGTTGTTGTTTTCCTCCGGATGCTTGTGTGTTTCTCCGATCCACTGAAACACAGAAGAAGCCCGTCAGAAACTTCCGCAGGCGGCGCGTCACATGAGCGTGTGAAACTCCACTGCAAGCGACTGATTTGACGCGACGCGATACTAGGTGCGGCAAAAACCGCTAATGGCTTTAACCTATAAGCATTGTTATCTGCCATACAAAAAGAAATTCTCTTTATGAATCTTTAAAAAAAATAATTTTTTAAAATCCTCATCGAATCCTCACACTCGACTGCTTTTGCATTGAGAATCCACATTAAAAACAGATCATATTTGTTTGTTTGTTTATATGTTTATTTATTTTGTGTGTATAACACTATATAATAATAATGTAAAAAATAAAAAATAAAGAATATATTTTTCTGTATATTATTTTATATATTACTTTATTTATTATATATATTGATATACATATATATTTATAATTTATATTAATTAATTTGATATATTATCTATTTTTCGGTCAATCAAATGTGCAAAATGACCTAATTTAGAACGTATTTAAATATGTATTTAATATGTATATATAGTTTATATCAAATATATATTATCAATTTTTTCTTTAAAATATGTATTATATATATAAATGTGTATGTATGTGTGTATATATATATATATATATATATGAGACTGAATGCTTCCTTTAGACGTGAATCACCAGATATTCAGTGATTCGTGTTGATCTGAATCAGGGTTTGTGCGCTTGGAGTCTTCACCAGATAATTGTCAAAGCAATAGTTCAGCCAAACAATGAGAATGTGTTCACCCTCAGATCATCCGAGATCAGGATGAGTTTGTTTCTTCATCAGGTTTGTAGAAATGTAGCACTGCATCAGTGTCTCAGCAATGGATGCTCTGCAGTGAATGGGTGCCGTCAGAATGAGAATCCAAACAGCTGATAAAAACATCACAATAATCCACAAGTAATCCACAGCACTCCAGTCCAGCAGTTAACATCTGGAGAAGACAAAAGCTGAAACTAATCCAGCATTAAGACACTTTTAACTAAAATACATAGAGTCTATAATCCATAATAAGGCTTCCTCCAGTGAGTCAGTGTTCTGGTGTGAATCAGGAGAGAAATCTGCACAGATCAAGCAGCGTTTAAACAGCTCTAAACACATATGTGGCTGGATTCTGATGCAAGAGACAAAAGGCGATGCACAGAAGATCTTTTTAAACTACTCATGACCACCTTTACTAGAATTGATCACGTTTTATTGTAGGCTTATTTATTGTGTAAAATTTAGTCGAACTTCTTGTAGAATTTATATGAGATCATCTGTGAAGGGAACAGATTTTTCCCTATAGATTTTTATTACAACTGTGGCCTGTTGTAGCTATTTTTTCTAAATGTGCAGACGGTTGTTTCTTCATAACACATGCTATATATTGATTAATTAAAAAAGTAATTATTGGCCTGGTAATGATTAATAGGCTAGTCTTATAACAAATGCTACAGTTATACTATGGTATATGGTCTTCAGATAGGCCTATTCCAAAAGATGGCATAGATTAAATCATTCAGAGCCTGATGAACTGTTAATGAGTAAGAAATAAACAATATCAATATAAGAAAATGTTAAGATTGACTTCAGAACATTCTGTTAAACTATAGCCGATAAATGCCTAAATAATATAAAATAGGCTACATCACACACACACACTCACTCACTCACTCACTCACTCACAGAATTGATCACGTTTTATTGTAGGCTTATTTATTGTGTAAAATTTAGTCGAACTTCTTGTAGAATTTATATGAGATCATCTGTGAAGGGAACAGATTTTTCCCTATAGATTTTTATTACAACTGTGGCCTGTTGTAGCTATTTTTTCTAAATGTGCAGACGGTTGTTTCTTCATAACACATGCTATATATTGATTAATTAAAAAAGTAATTATTGGCCTGGTAATGATTAATAGGCTAGTCTTATAACAAATGCTACAGTTATACTATGGTATATGGTCTTCAGATAGGCCTATTCCAAAAGATGGCATAGATTAAATCATTCAGAGCCTGATGAACTGTTAATGAGTAAGAAATAAACAATATCAATATAAGAAAATGTTAAGATTGACTTCAGAACATTCTGTTAAACTATAGCCGATAAATGCCTAAATAATATAAAATAGGCTACATCACACACACACACACACACACACACACACACTCACTCACACACACACACACACACACATACTGATTTCTGAAGATCATGTGACACTGAAGACTGGAGGAATGATGCTGAAAATACAGCTGCGCATCACAGGAATACATTACAGTTTAACAAGTATTCACACAGAAAACAGCTGTTTTAAATTCTAAAAATATATCAGTACTTTTAATGTATTTTTATCAAATAAATGCAGCCTTGGTGAACAGAAGAGACTTTAAAAATATATATTAATTGTTCCTAATGTTTGATCAGTGTAAAAAACCACAAGTACTAACTTCGTCTCAAACGTTTCCTTAAATTCATTAGAAGAAATCAGACACAAGTTAACATTTGTCATACATTAAGAGTGAATAGATATATAACTAATGCGAATATAGATATGAACATTAGTTATATATCTATTCACTCTTAATAGATATATAACTAATGTGAATATAGATATGAACATTGCTCATCATATTCTCCATATTCAATAGAGTTCATGCAGACTTTAACAAATTTGAGCACAATTTAAGCTTTTTTTCTGACGAGAAATGTAAATATTTTTTATATTATTCAATTATATATTTTAAATTGCATTGATTACATTTAGTTTTATCTTGAAGAAATATATTAGATGTTAAAGAGAGCTTTGGGCAAAGTTAGAAAACAAATGACCCATTCTTCAAAAAACCTGTCTTTGCCTCTTTCACAACGTTCTTTTTCAGCTGATGTCATGTTGCTCATTGTGACACAGAAGGTCATTTTTATCCAGGTTTTCACTAAAATAACTCAAATTTTATGCAAACACATTTTCCTGTCGTCTCAATGTCTTTCTCTGGCAGTTTTTGTTATAATAAACAAAAGACACACGGCAGAGCTCCAAAAACACAGGCAGTAATTGGTTTTTAATTCTTCGGTACTACATTCATTCATTCATTGAACTCTAGTGTCGTACAGCAGATCAACATCGGCACCCTCTGTGTGTCTGGAGACAAACTGCATGCGTACATAAGGTCAGGGGTCAGAAATCATAATCATAACTCAAAATCATTTACATCAGTGTAACCAAATTAGTCATAATCTGTATTTCGCACTTCATTGGGCTGTGTGTGTGTGTGTGTGTGTGTGTGTGTGTGTCAGTTGTTCCCCTCGTCGTCGCTGTGCTCGGCACGCTCGTCTTTGCTCTCGTTGAGTGAGCTCTCGTCGATGTTCTCCAGA